CCCCCCACCCCATGTAGGCAAGGGACAGTCAGAGGACGCTCTCCAAAATCCTGTGGACAAGAGGGAAAGGAACAGACAGATGCTGGCGGTTTTCTGGGAAGAAGAAGAAGAAGAAAAAAAAAGTAGTGGATCCTTGTGTGTGGGGGGGGAACAAGAGGCCTGCAAAGGAGATCAGCCTCTCCGTCCCCAGATGTACTTTCTAAGCACCAGAGATGGAATTGGGTCCTTCCCAAGGCCCCCTTCGGTGTCCCTGGGAGCAGCTGATAGGTAGCTTGGTGGGAAGAGGAAGGTCAGCATCATCATAGTTCTCAGTAGGGGGAAAACAGGCCTGGAACAGGGGGAAAAAAAATCATTTAAAAATCATTGGTTCAAAGAGGTGAGAAACAACAGTGGTGCCAAATGCCTGCTTCGTTTGCATTTCCACACATACTACAGCATCCAATAGTTGAGGGAATATTAAAAAGAACCCAACAGTCTGATTCATAACTTCGTTAGGTACTCAGCCGTTGAATTCCATTTTTGATTTGTTAACCTCTGAAGGCCTTTATGAGTCAAGGAGTTTAGTAAATGAATGCTTTTCCATAGACCTTTCAGATTAAAAAAGGAACATTGATAACGTTGGTACAGATAATAGTAACATTGATACAAATAATAGTAACATTGGCACCGAAACTTTTTTCTTTGGGGAAAGACTAAGGCTGTCATATGGTAATGGTGATAAGATGAGGGGCTGTTGCCTCTGGCCCCTCCAGTCTTGAAGCAAGATCTTCTAGGTTTTTCCAAAATACCATAATGCACCATTTCTCTTACAGAAAGTATCAAGCGGTATCCCATCGTTGACATTAATCCTTTAAATGCACATGGCTGTGGTTTCCTTTCCATCTCCTGCCATTCAAATGGCTAATGCCCTTGAATAAATATTAACGATGATAGCATGTACTTGAATAATTTGGTGAGTTATTAGTATGTTGCCTTCAAGCAGTGTGAGAGGTGCAGAAGTCTGGGGAGGAGGGAAAGCATTTGTCTCCTGTTGTGTCATCCAAGGACCATCTGGTCCCATCTATTTCCGTGTGTGGAACATGGCGTCTGGCTTTCAGAAGTATCCAACCTCTTTGCTCAGGAAAGGCAGTACCTTAATGCTACCAAGCTTTTAGCATTTGAAAGAGTCAACTATAATTTTTCCATGTTGCCATTTATAAAAAGTTAATCTATTGATCAGCTCGTTGCATTGCATGAAGAATGCCTTATGTTGAATTCTTCCATGTTCTTTTTAAGAAAAGTAGAGGTGACAGAAGAATTTTTCAATGGAAACTGGTAAATCCACTGCCAGTTAGAGTAGATAATTCTAATACAGTAATCTGGTGGATCAGGTTGTCAAAAAGGATCTAGAAAAAACTGAATCCCCAGGAAGGCAATATATACAGATTAGACTAAATTTAAGAGAGAATTCTGTAAAAGACAATGTCATTTGTACTTTATGACAGTTACAAGGAATCTTCAGAACAGCCATTGATTAAAAAAAGATTTAAAATAGTCCCTAAAGTTTGTATTTTATCAGGAATTGGACAAATAAATACTATTTCCTGTATAGGTTCTTGCAAATAGGATAATGATGATATTTAATGTGCCCTTATATCTCAGATTGTCATAGCCAAAAAATGAGCTTATTTATTTCAGAGTATAGAGCAGGTTAATTCAGAAAATGAACCATCTCAAACAATTCATACTAGAACCATGTTAGGGTTTAAACTTTCTGTTAAGGTTTTCCTATCACATTGATTTATATGCAGTTTCATCATTTGTAGTGCATAGATTTTAAATGACACTTGCAGAGGGGTAGTTATACTTGTCCTCTGATGGTTAGCTGTATTAATTTATTGGCAAATAGGTGTACCTGGTGAGGTTGTATTACCTGTTTCTTGGTAAAAGTTTTTATTTATTCCCAAACTAAAGGCAAGTGGCAGCGTCTTATTGAGTAACAATAACATTCTTCCTGTTTTCTGGCTTACAAATTGAAGCTGAGTTTGAAGGCTTAACTCTGGTCAGGGCTTGAGAGCGAAACCGTTTCAAACCCATTTTAAGATCTTCCTTAGTTTCATAATGGAAGAAAGGCAGTTTGAAAGATGTAACATCACCTCAGAGTAAATGGAGTTCTATTTATTATAAGATTGTTATTTTATAGATGTGCAAATATGTAGCTAATGTACCTAGATCCCTGTCCTCATCACAGCTTTCCTTATTCAAGTATTAATATTGTTAGAGACAAAGTATTTGCTAAATGCTGTTGACTGTCTTCATCTTGTCTAATATGCTTGAAAATACTTTCACTGGCTTTTAACTACATTGGAAAATGCATAATTTTAAAAAAATCCAAAAGAATTTATTTTAGTGAAATGGAAGAACTGTTTTGCTATATTTATGGCAAGTGTTGTCAAAGGGCTTCATTTTAAGTGTTTAAGAATTAGCTGGTTTTATAGATAGCAGATGCCTCATCTGCATTTAATAATAGATATTTTAAAAAAATTAAGTTGCATTCTGGGAATGTTTGGTTTTCTTAGTTGAAGCTTGATTTTTCCAGAGAAGGAAAGTGGTTTATTAACACTCAGAAAACCTTCGTAATGGTATAATAACTATTTTTGGAAAAAGCCAATGAATGTTTCCACTCATGTTTATATTTCTGTTCCCCATTCCCAAGACTTAAGCCCTCCACTTTTTTCTGCCTCTTTCCAGAAGGTGTATAGTTTGGACTTTGGTTACAAATGCTCCTTTTCAGAAGGAACAAAGGTTACTCTGTTTCTGCATTTTAGAATTATTTTCTGTTGATGTTTCGAAGTATGATTACTTTGATAAATCCAAGTGATCAATACAACAAGCCTTTGTAATGCTCAGAAGCTATTGTTAAAGTTCAGTCTATGAAATACTTCCATGTTGAATGACACTTTATGAACCTTTTAGAGATTTATTGTTTGTGATGGACTGAAATGCTCACCTTTTTTTGAAAATGTTTGATTTTAAAAGCATTTTGTTTCAAGCTTGAATACTGCACGCCTTCATATTATACAGCCTGGGGGCTACATGTGGCCCACCAAACAGTCTTTGAAAAAATAAGTACTACAATAAATCCAGAGCTGTCACTGCAGCCCACTCTAGTACTTCCATTGCCATGGAGCAGCTGATCAGTATTTCTCTGCAGCACATTACAATTTTCAATATTACCAATGCAGCTTTTCCCCCTCAATGAATTGTGCAGGGCTGGAGAAGTGTAATCCCTACCAGCACCTTAATATGACTTATCCCTACCAGCACCTTAATATGGCTTATCTTTCTTCCGAAAAGCATTCAAAATCTAAGTTTTAGTTCCTATGGAATTATTTCATGAACCTTAATGTGTAGTTCTCAACAACCCTGGGACATTCGAATTGTGGGTTCAGTTTTAAAACTGGGAAAGATTTGCCCTTTAAATTTATATTCTAGTTTAGGGGAATCCCAATTAGATCTGCATTCTTTTATGTTGGCTTTCCCAAGCCATTCAACTAATATTTTTTTTGTTCTTACTGCACTTCGGATTTTTGTATTACTATTTTGTAAACTGGCATGATTTACCAGAGAAGTTTAGTATTGGAATCTTTTTTTCCTTGTTGGTTAATTGGATGGGAGCATAATGGTATAGTTGTACAGAGAAACCCTTCATTTATTAAACCTTGATACAACTATCTTTGCATACAGTGGAACAAATTCCCATGGACAATTTGTGTAATGGCATCACATAAATGATGTAATTAGTATAATGGTATCATGTGAATGATGTAAATCACAAAAAGACTTTCTTTCTGTATGTTCTGTCAGTAATAAATCCTCTCCCTGCCAAATTAATCCCTTAAAATAAATTTTCTCCATACTTTACCTTCTTTGTCCCTCTTTTGATCAAATAATTTTCAGTACCATGCCGCTGCTCAATCAGAAAAGCAGCAATCCATCATCAGCACTTAGTTGTTTTTACAGTGCTTATACACCACCAAGTTGAACAAATCCACACATTAAAAAAAGATTAAAAATACAGAAATCAATCCCTTTAAGCATAAACTCTGCAGTAACAATAAACATAAACAAATCGTTAGCCCATCAATAATGTCAAGAAATTACCTACCGAATGCCCAGTTAAAGAATATGGCCTCAAGTACCTTGCAAAATAGTCAGAACACAGAATGAAGGACACAGTGTTCCCAGAAATGAAGCTACTGCAGTGATAGATGACCTTGGTGTCCACATATCTCTGCTAGAAAGCAGGAAGGGAACCCTAATCCTCCAAATGTTGCCTTTGTAAGCTGGGCAGATTCTGCTTCGAGGATCAAATTGCTAGCTATTGACAGTCCTACCTGGCATAAATTTTCTAGTTCCTGTTCACAAAACAATGAGATCGTAGGAGGAGAGCTATGCTAGTCTATAAAACTCGTAGCACTCGTTCCGAGTCACAGATTTTATTCAAAGACATAAGCTTTCATGAGTTGCAGCTTTTCAAAAACTTATGCTTTTAATAAAATTTGTTACTTGGAAAAGGTGCTGTCAGATTCTTGGAAGAAATGTGCACGTTAGATAGCATTGCTTATTGAATTCACTGATGCTTGTTTTAAGTTCCCTCTTTTCTTCCATTCTCTTATCCTTTCCTGTGCAGGGAATTACATGGCTGATCTTTTCCCTCCCGGAAAAATAAAATGAAGGGCTAAGAAGATTCTCAGAAACTCATACATGTAACTCCCGAGAGAGCTGATGCTGAGACTAAAAAATAACCATCTGGTGTAAGTAGGGAACATCTGAGACATTTTGCACTATTTATTTTTGTGGGATCAAGTAATCCACCAATTGAAGCTCCTACGATTTAAAGAATTTGGACACTTTTTCCCTTCAGTCTCCCATGTGAAAGTCGTTTAGCTCATATTTCCATCACTTCATCTGCTATAATTCCAGGAATGGAGGGAAATAACTTGGTTGGTTGCTGCTACAATTGAACAGTTGGGTGATCAATTGTACATCACTCACACATTTACCTTCTGCCCATCTCTGGTGTTGATTAATTCTTCAGTGTCTTAATTTGTATGTTATTTCTATTCCCATCTGTCAAATATTGACATTTGCAATAAATTGGAACAATACAGACACATCTTACAGATTGAATGCTTTATGCCGAGCTCCTATTCACACTAGAACAATGAAGAAGAAAGTGGTATGTTTGTATAAGTTTATAAGATCTACAAACGACAAGATACTATAGTTACTATAGTTATTTTATTAGTCGCTCTAGATCAGGGGTCGCCAACCTTTTGGACCTCAGGGACCACCAAACTCAATTTTAAATCCCAGGGACCACTAACCGGTTCTGTAGTCGTGGCCTAATTTGTGGGTGTGGCTTGGTGGTCATGTGACTGGCTGGGCATGGCTTGTATGTAAATATTATAAATATTTATATAAATATTGAATTTTTTATTTAAAAAAAGAGCAACTTTTACCCCAAAGCAGGCAGGCAGATTGAGTTGCTCACAGAATCATTCAGAGATCTATCTATCTGTCCTCGGCTAGCTCAGTCTGTCACATAAAATTTGCTTGCTGTGAGTCTGCACCGAATAACAGAACCTTCAGTCCTAAGGGAGGTTCGGCTGTGCTTAAAAGCAGAGCCGAAGATCTAAAGACTAGCTAAAAAGCAAGAAATCCAACCATTTCCTGCTTCCTAGCTAATCTAAATCTCCCGGCACAGCAAACAGCTGATGGTCGGGAAAACTAGCAATTTAGCAGGCCAGTTTGCCGGATAAGGAGTGAATAGGCGGGGAGGGTTCCCGCGGGCCATGTGGGTGGCGCAGCCTTGTGTTTCTGTGCAGCCTGGATTAATTGCTTTGTGGGGTGTGTGCTCTGGGGGTGAGATTTCTCTTGGTGACCGCTGCTCTAGATAGTATATTCTGTGCTGATTGAGTATTGATTTTGTGACTGAATTTAGAAATTCACAAAAAGTTTTGCTCTCCATTCCTCTTTTTTCCCACAAGCATTTATTTTGATAGTGGTTTGAATGGTTTAAGGAGCTAAATTGCACGGGCTTTGTTTTGTCCATTTGGATCCCACTTACCTGTTCCTGACCTCCCTGAGTGGCCACGAGAGGATGCTTCAAAGCCTCATACAAGCTCCTCAGTGTTATTGCAGGCATTTCAAATGCCTTCTTTCAAGCTTGAATATCTAGGCCAAGGGTGTCCAACCTTGGCTCTTTAAGACTTGTAAACTTCAACTCCCATAATTCCCTGCTCAGCATGTCTGGCTAGGGAATTCTAGGAGTTGAAGTTGCCAAGGTTGGACATACTTGATCTAAGCCTTCATCTCAACAGGGGCCACACTGAATAGTTCCTTCACTATTTGATTTTGGAGTAAATTGGCTTTTTTTAAATAACATCCTTACTGTATGAGGCTTTCCAAACGTTTAGTGAATTTTAACGCATTCACTCACCCAAATTAAAATGTCTAAAGATGTGTTTTAAGTTTGACAGTGGAAGAAAGGCATTTATTTCCCACCTTTTGAACCACAGCATTTCTGGAAGGGACAATGGATCAGCCCAGCGGAAGAAGCTTCATGCAAGTTCTTTGTGAAAAATACAGCCCGGAAAACTTCCCTTATCGTCGTGGTCCTGGAATGGGCGTGCATGTCCCAGCTACACCTCAGGGTTCACCTATGAAAGGTACAGCTTTTGGCTGCATTTTTTCTTTTGACTTCCCTAGAGCAAGGCTTGGATTAAAATGTACTACATTTACTCTTTGTTCTCCCTCTTCTGTGAAAGGGATGGAAGGGAAACAGAGTTTCTTTCTGGACTGCAAAGAATTTTTGGGTGCACTGACTGTGCATTCACTCCTTCCTCCCTGACCCACCACCCTCAATTCTGATTTTGAATTCCTGTCAGGCTGATTTCTATCGCAGACATTCCCAAAGAGAAAATACAGGCCAGGTTATTTGGGTGGAATTGACAGTAAATGAATGTGACGGAAAAGAACAAAAATAAGTTGAGTCAGTCGGGGACAAAATGTATTGTATGTCACTCAGAGTTAACCTTTCCAGAGACACCGTAAAGGGTGGGGGGGGGGAATCTGGTTATTCTTCTGATTTCTTCATTCAGGTACCTCAGAAAGATGGAAAAGCTATGTTGGCCCTGAGTCAAGGTTATGTTTTTACTAAAATGCTTCTATCCAGCAGAATATCACAGGGTATGCCGCAGCATACTGCTGGCTTCTTCAGTGCGCATACCCTCATCACCCTTTTTATTTATTCATTTTTAAATAAACTTTATTAGTCTTTTGTATATTTTAAAAATAAATCGAAAAATAAATACCATGACATTAACAGTTTTGTGACATCTATCTCATACAATTTCTATCTTTTGTACATACTTACAAATATATACAATTTTGTGTGAATATATACATTTAATCTATGTTGCTTATCTTTAATTCCTTCATTTTCTTTCTTAATTCAATCCAATTATACCATTTTCCCCAAATTGTATAGTATTCAGACTCCTCTTTCTCTTATATTATTAAAGTCAATTTGTCCATTTCAGCACGTGCCATTATTTTTTGAATAATCAGTTCATCCGATGGTATACAGTCCCAGGAAAGCATCTTTTATATGAAGAAAGAAGACCTCTTGTGCTTTCATCTTTCTATTTGTCTCCAAAGTTACTATTATTTTGATAGATTTTTTTCCCCAGAGTAATTTGGTTTCATTGATTTCTGAAATACCAAGACTGCTTCTGAAGTACCTACTGAAAATATCATTAAGGTAGATGATAAGAAACTGTGAAGAGGGACATTACTTGGTATTCATAAAGTGCAAATGTGGAATCTAGAGAAGGATTCAAAGGAGAGGCTTATTGTGTTTTATCTTTTGACATAGTCATCCCAAACCAAATAACTACATTCATAAGCTCTTAGGACATTGTAATTTACAGTTTTATGTATTTAAGAGTCACTTTTCACTTTCATCCATCAAAGAGCATCATGGGCTGCATAATAACAAAACGGTATCTTTTAAAAACAGCCATATTAGGTAGAGTTCATCAGACAACATAAATGGAATCTAATTTTTATACGGCATTTTTTAAAAAAAGTATTCTGGATCAGATTTGGTTGGATGGGCAGGTGATACATTGCTCTACAAAAACGAGACTCCTTATAAGGGCCTCCTGTTGGCTCTGTTTTTCCAGACCGTCTCAACCTGCCAAGCGTGCTGGTGTTGAACAGCTGTGGGATCACCTGTGCAGGAGACGAGAAGGAGATAGCTGCCTTCTGTGCTCACGTATCTGAACTGGATCTTTCTGACAACAAATTAGAAGACTGGCACGAGGTAAAGCAGCTTATGCGAACTTCATTCTGAGTAGTAACGAGAACAGCTGTCTTTGCTGCAGGTAGAGATGGCTGTTCCGGATGGATTAATTTTGGATGCATCTGGAGTTATTGGAGCAAATGTCCTTGCCCAGGGTAATCCAAGGACTTGATATCTGGAAGGTTTAGTACAGAGATCTCCAAACGTGGCAACTTTTAAGACTTGTGGACTTCAACTCCCATAGCTGGTTGAGGAATTCTGGGAGTTGGAAGTCCACAAGTCTTAAAAGTTGCCAAGTTTGGGGACCCCTGGTTTAGTACTTTCTCCTTCCATTTCTTCCTCCAAACCTCAGGCTTTCTCAAGCGGGCTACCCCTTCTTTCTTGCTCATCTGTCCTCTGGAGATTCTCTTCTGAGCTCCCCTCATCAGTTTGTTGCCTTTAGCTACAGTTTCATAATCTCAGCTACCATCCAAGAGTGGGAGGGAAGAAGATGTTCTGTGTTTTGCTGTCATTTTTCCTTTTGGGGGGGACCTGTTAATGCCTGCATTAGAATGATGTTTGGACTGGGCCAGGGGAGATGAAGTTTCAAGCGTATAAAATATGGCTGGATGACCCTGGGCTAGTTCTACTCTCTCGGTTCAGCCAACCTTCCCCACAGCTCTTGAGGGGATAACATGAAGTGATATCCCCATGTAGCTCACCTTCCACTCATTGGAGAGAAGGCAGAATGGGATTTTTAGCAGTGGAAATTTCTAATGGTTAATGAAACTCGTTGATTCTCTTAATTTTTATACTTAAGAATTCTGATGGATCCCACTGACTCTCATTATTGTTGTCCCTCTTTTAGCCTATGTGTCTTCAAAAAAAATGGATCCAGGTTTGCCCAAAATTTTGCATAATTGTTCTAAATGCTCTCTAGTAGTTTGTATATGTGTTTCCCTCCGTGTTTCCCTGCGGCAAGGCTTTGGATTATAATCAGGCAAAAAAAACGGAAAGGTTGTTTGGTTGCCTTTTGGCCATCTGTTTTTCATTTTCAAATGTTAAAAAGAATTAGAAAGTTGTTTGCAAAGGGGGAGAAACCCAAATATTAATCAATTTCAGGAATCAAAATTATTTACTAAAATGGTATTTGGCGCATACAGGATTGCAGAAAAGATGGGCAACCCTGGATAAAATAGTCCTTTGAAAAATGTTGGCACTTGTAAGTTATTTTTTTTCTATAGTCGCTGTTCTTTTCTTTAGAAGCCTGCCAGGTAGCTGTTTTTTCCCCCTTATCAAGTCTTTTTAAGAATGTAATTAACTGAACCATTGAGGGGAACAAGCAATTAACCAATCAGTCTAAATCTCCAAATGGCCACGGTATGAATTACAGATAACTATCTTGAATGCTGTTAGAATCCTTATCATTCTTCAACTCAGGGAAGTGGACTGGAAAGGTTGCTGGGAGGTTTTAATATTATTCGAGATCTGATTACAGATTTTTTTTCCCCTTCTTCCCTTCTCTTCCAGGTCAGTAAAATTGTGTCCAATGTCCCTCACTTGGAGTTTCTGAACCTGAGTTCCAATCCTCTGAATTTGTCAGTTTTAGAAAGGAAGTGTGCCGGATCTTTCTCTGGTGTTCGCAAGCTTGTGCTCAACAACAGCAAAGCTTCCTGGGAAACAGTTCACACTATACTGCAAGAATTACCAGAGTAAGCCTAAAGGAAGTAGGGTTTTGAGGGTTAACTGACAAAGAGAGATTAAGGAAGGAGGAGGACTTACAACAGTTAAACTCAAAACACAAATTCCAAAAAATGAAAGTGAGCCTTCTAATTGCTTTGTTCCAGACTAATAGTGGACAGGGCCCTCAAATATATGTTATCTATTTGACTTTTTGAATCTTACTTTGCGCCGGCTGACAGATTCAAACCTCCAAAGAAAATCCAACCAAGAACTGTTGATTTTAAAGCTGAACCTAGGGTTCATTACAAAATCTGGAGTGTAGATTTCCCTGTCTATACTCCGGTTGACTCTATTTGGTTTCCTGCCTTGGTTGGTTTCTATGCATGTCTGGATGCATTGCAATTTCCAATTTTATACCTAGTGGCTATATTTCCATCAATTTGTTACTCTACAAATTAACGGAGGAGTTAAGGCACTCTACAAAAGGTAGTGGAAGGTTTTACTAGAAGGTTTTACATTTGGCTACTAAAAATTGTTATCCTAAAGGAAGGAAGGCGAAGGAGCTTTCCTGCCTGATTGCCTGATTTTAACAAAAAGCCGTGGTTTTCAAATCTGTTACAATTATTATGGCAGCTTCTTGTCATTGTGATTTTATTTACATGTTACTGAATGGTGTTCCAAGAGGTTCAGTCTCTTAAATTTAGTTTTACTCCCTTATAATGAGGGTAAGATGCTGATGTAAGATTATAGCTTGTGTGTGTGTGTGTGTGTGTGTTTGTGTCCTGAAAGCTTCAGTATATCTTAAACTCCATATACTGGCAGCGCACTAGATCCAGCAAAAAACTGGGTTCGGAAATAAACCACTTATCTATTTGCAAAGTTCTTTCTTTCCATTGAGAAGCCTTCAACAGCATATCCATCCTTAGGCAGAGTACATCACAAAGCCACTTGTGGTTTGTGCAGATCTATCTACTTCCAAAGTTTTAGACCACATTTGGACAATGTTTCCGAACTACTGCTAAGCTGCTTGGTGCATTTATCCGTAAATTTATCAAATTAACAGATACTGCCAGTAGGGCAGTCCACATTCTGCCTTTCTGCTCTTCGGTTATCGGATCAGATAGCTTGCTAATGGACAGGCTGGCTTTTGATTGAGACTAAATGGGGGGGGTGTAGAGAGAGTGCAGGACAACTTCCAGTTAAATGTTCCCTTACATATTTTATAAGGCCTGCGTTGTCTGGCGGAGGTTCCTTTCAGCTTGGCAACTCTCGTTTTCCTTCATGTGGAACCAAAGCTTATTTAATCCAACTTTCTGCTCTCAGACTAACTAACCAAATGCAGATGCCTTCAGAAATCCAGAGATGGGATTACAAGGGCAACCGATTTTTTTTCCCCCAGCAGTTTTCCCCTAGGAAGAGATATTTGAAAGTGCTTTTTTCTGCTGCTGCTGCTGCAAGTACCGTATTTTCCCGAAAATAAGATCCGGCTTTTGTTTTTGTTTTTGCCACAAAAAAAGGCACCAGGTCTTACTTTGGGGGGATATCATCCACTAACTAACTTCACTTGCGTGTATCGCCCCCCAGCCTCCTTCTCGCTGTCAGAGGCCTTCAAGAACTTCTGCGGCCGGCAAAGCTTGCCTTGCCTTGCCTTGCCTTGCCTTGCCTTTGCCTCTGCAGCCGATAACAGAGCTCCGGATCAATCTGGAGCTTTGTTTAATCAGCTACAGAGGCCTTCAGGAAAGCCTTGCCAGCCTTGCTGTCTGCAGAAGAAATGGGCTGTCAAGGCAGGTGTCGGGGTGTGCGAGGCCTGGCTACAACTGTCTAAAGGTAAGTAGTAGGGCAGCTCCACACACACACAACATCCCCACCCTAGCTTAATTTTTACCCGGGCACTCTGGAGTGGGCAGGATCTTAATTAGGGCTTATTTTGGGGGTAGGGCTTATAGTGGGCACAGGTGTAAAAATCAAGCTAGGACTTACGTTCAGGGTAGGTCATATCTTTAAGAAAACAGGGTAATAGTGATATAGCTCATCAATGTGTCTTTTCCTTAAAACCAACCTTAACTTGATTGCATAGAGTTTTTGCTGCATGTTTTAATTGGAATTTTCTCCCTGCAGCTTGGAGGAACTCTTCCTGTGCCTTAACGACTATAATACAGTGTCTTGTTCTCCAGCTTGTTGTAATTCTCTCAAATTGCTCCACATAACTGACAATAATCTCAAAGACTGGACCGAGATCCGGAAGCTGGGGATAATGTTTCCATCGCTAGATACTTTGGTTCTGGCCAATAACAGTCTGTCAACCATTGAAGACTCTGAGGATTCCCTGGCAAGGCTATTCCCGAACTTGCGATCCATCAGTCTGCACAAGTCAGGTGAGACCTTGGATGAAATATAATGGAACAATATAGGAGGCCTAGCTGAACAAAGGCCTAGCTTATCCAGGCTTCTGTTCCCAAACTGCTCACATAGATATTCCGGAAAGCATCCTTCTGCTGTGTAGAGGCACACTTTCCCTCAAGCATGGAAATAAATTATGGCTCCTCTGTTAGGCAGGGAAAATCAGTGTGGCTCGGCAGGAACATAGAGGCAGAATCCAAATTCTCTCTTGGTCACATGTTTATTCAGACTGGACAAAGGTGTGGGTCCTGTAGGACTGGAAGAATCTTAAATACATTTTAGAGCAAGCATATATAGTTTTCTTAGTTTCACTTAATCACCTAACAGGAGACACAACTCACAGTAGATAAAATGTAGAAATTACAAAGATACTTGTTCACACATCCTGTGGTAATGAGCACCTATTCGGTTGCAAGCTTTATGGTTTCTTTAATGAAGTCTTAGTGAGTCTTGAGGCCTTAATTGTTTTATTTCTGTCATGTCAACCTAAGAATCATCAGACCAATTATCAGAATCCTGAGTAACACCCTAGGGCCATTAATCATTTTATCCTGAGAATTTTGCCTGATCTGTATCCTAATTGGCAATCTTTACTATCTATTTTTTTATTGTGATTTCTATAGTTGCCATAAGTTCTGAAATAACTTTCTTTATGGCAAGTCACTCAACCTTTTGATCCTGTGTAAGCCAAAAAAATCTAGTATTATGGAAAAGATAATTTTATTAACTCTCTTCATGCCGTAAAGTTTTTAGCAACTCATGCGGCACTAACATTTAGTGAGGCTTTAAAACCTGTTGCGTAAGTTCCCTCATCGGTGTGTGTGCATGCAGTAAGGGAGCACCTAATGACAAGCCAATTGGCAGAGGAGTTGGCTCTCCTGAAAGATTTACACTTCTTTTTGTTCTCCTTCCTAAATTAAACCTCAACACCCTTCATTCGTGCAGGCAAATATTTTTCGTCATTTCCCTTTACACTTTCTTGATATCGTAGCTATGTCAACTGGCTCTAGATGGTTTTCTTGTCATAGACTTAGAGATGAGGGAGAACACTGGCCAGTTATAACACCTTTTAGAAAAATGAGATGGGTCCTCTTCAGCATCTGAAGCGCCACACTTCATCGCTCAAGAATTCAGAAAAGTATTATTATTCCTTAAGAATAACTCCATTCAATTGCTTCCATTTGTTTGAATTGTGATTCCACTGAACGATAACAGGGTTTTACTGATTTATTTAACTTACTACTTTCGTACTGCTGGGAATAGGAGAATGTACCATAAGCCAAAGCCTTAACTTCCCAAGAAATCTAATCCAGTAGCTGTGTTTTTACCAAAATACATCAGTCTCTTTCAGTAATTAATCACCAGCTTCATTGGAGCAGCAAAGGTGGAAATGAAATGTTATTTTCAGAGAGTGAAAGTAATTGAACAACTCCCCAAAATAATCTAACTTATAAAGGCTGACATTTTAAAAACAAAAAACAAAAACAAAATATAAGTCATGTAAGTATAAGATCAGCAGGGAGAAATCTCTGTTCAGATGTCACTCCCTGGTAACAGTAATTTTCTATTTACATTTGAGAAATGTTTAATAGAGAAATGTTTGAAAAATGTGTGTCTGCCTGCACCTTGAGCCATTTCTTTTTCTATTCTGTTCCTCATTGAGTTTCGGCCTGAGAATAGTTTTCCCGCAAGCACAACTTTGACCTACTATTATACGTTACCCCTCTTCACTTGCCTGTTTTCCTTGCCTGAGCCTTTCCTTTCTTTAAAGCAGGTCTGCATTCCTGGGAAGATGTGGACAAACTGAATTCTTTCCCCAAGCTTGAGGAAGTGAGGTTGCTGGGAATACCTCTCCTTCAGCCGTACACCACTGAGGAGCGGAGGAAGCTGGTAATAGCCAGGTCTGGAGATTTTGTAGTAGATCCAGCCTTAATACGATTAAACATTGTTATGTGACTTCAGTCTAAGGTGCTCAGTCTCAGAGAGGGACTTGGAAGATAGTGGAGTCCTGTAACTTCACAGTTTTGTGAGTGAATCAAAAAACGGGGGAAGGGGAGGGAAGGAATCTATGTTGTGAATTAAAATTGTTCTGTGTAATATAAGTGGCAGTGGACTGGCAAACCATCTTACGGAGCTCTGTTGTAAAGGACTACAATCATAGCCTTGGGGGTGGAATCATAAATCTCTTGTATTTGGAGACTGCTGCGTCTTTGTGGCCATTTTTGCTTGATTCCCAATTGGTATTTTTGATGCTCGCTATATTGCAGATTTTATTTATTTATTTAAAACCATTATCTACCGTTTCCTTTACAAAAAAAAAAACATACCTCAGTGGTTTGGACTAAAATTGATCCCTTCCATCTTCACGTCTAGCCTGGGGCATCAGGGAGAATCAACAAGACTACACAGCAAAGCCCTAATCTCAGATGAGTCGTTTAACTTGCACTTCAGTGTCTCACTTTACAGCTTTGCAGGCAGGGAGATGACTCATCATGGCTAAGGACAGGAACTAAGACAGGCCTTTGTCAATCGATGGTAAAGAGAGAGGACCCTATCAATGGGCTCACTTCATAGTCTTCCCCTCTGGTGTTTTGTGTTTTGCAATGAGATTACACCCAACACCCATTGCACATATGCCGGTCGGTCGTCATCTCCTCACTGAAATCTCAAAAGCCACTGATGATAAATGTTAAATTAATGTTGAGAAGTTTACAGACAGTTGCTTGAGCTGTGCTCCGATAGGTACTGATTTAAAAGAAAGAAAACCTTTGATCCCATATTCTGCAGTTCTGCCTTCATTATTTTCTTCAGTGTTTAAAATGCCTAAAGTGTGTGCAGCACCTGATCTGGACGCTGTCCTTTAGGTCCCAGAGAGTCAGCTATCTTTCTATTCATACTCTTCATCTGGAATGATTGGGGTGACAGACTAACCCAGGGACTACAGAAAATCTCTCTCTCGCTCCCTCTCCCTCCCTCCCTCTCTCACACATCAATACTGCAGAATGGGGAAGCAGTAAATAGCAAATTTCTACAGCCTTTTCTTAAGTTATCAACATTTTATAACCTGTCTTGAAAAGTCCGCAAGAAGGAAGGCTTTTAGGAAGTCATCTGATATATTTATAATCAAGTCATAATGCACAATTTTAAATCAATTTCTCTCTGTATGGAGCCCTATAAAAATGCAGTTTCCCTGACGGCTATATTTTTGGGTGTCAGATTCTGCAGGAATCTCCTGAGAAGACAATATTTGCCGCTGACTATTTGGGGATTTGTTTTTTTCCTCCCCCCAAACTTGCTCAGCTGTTAACATTTTCTCTTCTCGTCTTTGGCAGGCTACCATCAATCACCAAGCTGAACGGAAGTGTCATAATGGATGGAGAGCGAGAAGACTCTGAGAGATTTTTCATCCGCTATTACATGGACTTTCCACAGGAAGAAGCTCCTTTCAGGTGAGGGATTACCCAGAAGTTTGCGGAACGAATTAAAAAACTTTGGCTATTTAGCATAGTTTTGAAGACGCGAAATATAAATTGAGGTGTCCCCGGTTCAGAATTGCGCGCTAAGTCACTCACCCGATAAACCCTCGGCAAGCTGCAGAGCCTCGGCTGAATCTCATTTATCTTCTCTGTGGAGCCTCATATATATTACCGATTTATCTTGCAAGGCCGCAAATGAGTAAATTACCATTTGAACAGCTACAGATATCGGTAAGCACTTCCAGGGCTGAGGAAAGACAGTAAATAACAGGCCAAGGCTGAATGCTTTTTTGCCAATATTTGTAGCACATTGTTAATGAATAATTAAGAGGACAGTCGAGCTTTGGCTGTCAGGAAAGTTGCAATCTGAAGCAAGAGGAAGGAAGGGGTAGAAAGGGAAAATGGAGTAGAACGATACGATGCATGGGGATGGGTTGATTAACGGCGAGAAGGGGGCAGCTAAAGCCAACGGGCAAAGAGTCATCCCAACTTGGCGTACATGGACCCAGTCCGCATTGATTGCATTTTCAGCTTTTCGACCCTCGCTTGCCCTTCCTAAACCAGATATTGAGGCCCTTGAATGAGTTCAAGAGTGAATGGTCAGGCAATTCCAGAGAAGAAAAAGATATTAAGAAGTTCGGGGCAGAGAAATCTTAAAAGGTCTCTTGAACACTCGACTCCAATGAGTTTCCCATGATTTTTGGTTTGGTTTTGCCTCAGCAGGGGTCCCCCCCCCCCCCACTCTTTCCCGCCCGGTTAAATAGAGGGCCAAATTGCCTTTTTTTTCCCCCCATTCTCTCTGTCCCCCCCCCCCCTCCTCAGTTTGTAGCCTTTGAATAACCCTGGGCTTCCCTCCCCCAGCCTGATTGTTCAATGGCCTCTTTGTCCCGATGGCCTCATCTGTGTGGGGTCTTGAAGAGACCTTCGCCCTCACTGGAGACTGGCTTTCCAGTCCACCAGACCAGGATGCCATTTCAGGGCCCTTTGAGGGCCGTGAATAGCCGAGGCGGCATCCACAAAGAATTGAGCTTCAGGTTCACATCCTGCATCTTTTAGTTCATGCTTGAATTTCATTTCTCGTGACTTTTCTCTCCCCCCAAAAAAACTCAGTTTTCTGATTACTACCCTCTTTCCTTTCCCTTTTAGGTTCTTTCTCTTTCTTGCCCTTCCAAGGTTGACGTGTAACTTTTAGGACCACATCCTCCAAACAATTATTAACAATTGTGATATTAATAGCAACATCACAATCTTCCCCAAAGGAGTTATTTTCCCCCCCCCCCCTTATTTTTGCAAACTGATGAGCTGCCATCCTGGTATCCAAGGTGTTAATTCACCAGATCTTTACAGCTTGTTTAAAATGCCCACACAGATTTCATTTGCAATGGAATTGCCTAAGAGTGAGATTACAAATGAAAAGATCTTTTGTGTCATTTCTGACTGCTTAAGTGCCCTTGTTAGATCCAGAGACAAAAGACGCACTTCCCAGATACAACTAGAGTAAAGATGAACTTAAAGATCTTACAATTTGGGAGCTTGAATACAGTCAGATTTAAGATGCTGAGCCAAGGGACCTCAAAATTTATACAGCAGCCTCGGACCAATTACTCATTTTAACCCAGCATTGTTTAACAGAATTGTGCCTTTGGGAGTGAAATGAGTGGCCTTGTGCATTCCAGCTTGTGTTCCCAGGAAGAAGACAGGATATGAATTTGTTAAATGGAAACTTTTTCACTTTGGAATACAAGCTAGCTTTAAAAAAAAAAAAAAACCCAGATTCCAGCAGTTTTCAATCCAGTTTGAGGAAAATAGCTTTGCTGTCCCCAATAATTCTGCGTTGTTCTTATCTTTGTTTCATACAAAGAGATTGGACAACCGTTTGTCTGGAATGGACTAGGGTCTCGTGCTTTTGAGCAGGGACTGGAAGACCTCCAAAATCCCTCCCAACTCTCTTATCTGTTATCATCTGGTGAGAAGTTCCGGCCTTAGGTGGGAGGGAGAGAGAAAAGAATTGTGGAATCTCCAGCACCCTTGGATACTCCTTTGTTTTGATGACACTGGCATGGTCTACCTCTCTGGTAGCAAGAGCCTGCAGTCACCTCAGTGGGAAAGCAATCCTTTTTCAGAGCTCTGGCTGAACAAGCCATGGATCCCATTATACAAGAAGTGACAGAATGCATGGAGGTGTTGAAACCCATCCAGCAAGGCTGCCTTTCACTTTCCACCATTGACTTAGCTGCCGTCAGCCATCGCGGGGCTCAGAGGACACGGTCTTCCTTATTTCCCAAATCGTCGCTTCGCCAAAAACGGACCGAGTTTTCTCTCCGCGTTAATTGTGGAGCCAAGCACAGCAGCCCGTTCTCCGAACACTCGACCTCTGTGAAAGCTGGTTTTGTCCAAGATGCTGGGGAAAACCGAGGGCGCTTCATCAGCACACACACCACCACCACCACCACCCCAAAAAATATTGCAGACAGACAGAGGCTCTGCTGTTGGTAGAATGTCCTTGCCTTTAACGCGAGTCCCCTGGGAAGGCCCTCCCTCCCTCCCTCCCTCCCTGGTTGCCAGGCCCCATCCTCCCCTGACAGGAGCAATGACACAGCAGCCAGCGATCCCGGATTCCGGCCTGAGCCAAGAACGAAACAAAAGGGGCTTTCAGTCTAAGGGCATCCCTTAGAGACTCTGAAATGTTATCCCCTCCCCAATCTTAACCACTCTTTGTGCTTATCTTTTCAGCTACCTTGGACTTTGGGTTGACTTTTTACCACTTTCCCAGCCCAGCCGAAGAGATGCTCCTTCCTCATTATTAATGAGAGATATCTGAAAAATGCCTGGGGAGGGAAGGGGGCTGGAGGGGAGAGCAGAGACAAGGAGCAAAGACAGAAATCTCTAACCAGCAGCATAAACAAGAGGGTATTTATCTCTGGGAGGGAGCGGACACTTGGGGCCATCCAGACATTGCTGCCCCACTTTCTTTATTTTATTTTTTTCTTCCTCTCCCATCCAGCCTCGTCCTCCCTTTGCAAATGCCAAAAGGGACGGAATTCAGAAAGGCAGAAGCTGAACCAAAGTTATGTCATTAATAGCTGGTAAAAATTTCAGCTTGACTCCGTTCCTACGCAAGCCGTGACAGCAGGATTCACTCTGCCAACGAATGAATACTGAGAGACAGAAGAGGGGTTGGGAAGGAGGGGGGGAGGATGTTTCCCCCCCCCTCCCCAGCCCTCTGAGGATGTGGAGCATTGATCTCTGCAGCATTCAGCAGGACGGCTTGGCAGGACCATGCTGAAGGCCCTATATCTGTGGAAGTTTGATCACAGGGCTACCACTATAGGGAGCCCTCGACTTCCAACAGTTCGTTCAGTGACCGCTCAGCACTGGAAAAAAAAAGGGACCATTTTTTCACACTACCGTCGCTGCATCCCCGTGGTCACGTGATTTACATTTGGATGGTTGACAGCTGACTCACATTTATGACGGCAATGTCCCGGAGTCGTGCGATCTCCTTTTTTGTGACCTGACAGGCAAAGTCAATGGGGGAAACCAGATTCACTGTACAACCGCCGGGTTACTAATTAACAAATGAGGTGAGACAAGTCGTAAAATGGAGCAAGCTCACTTAGCAAACCTCTCACTTAACATGACAACACGGGCTCAGTTGTCATAGGTTGAGGATTGCCTGTAGTTCAGGCACATTGTGAGATTTTGGAATTGTACCTGTACTGCCCCCTAAATGTATGTGGTCTACACGTTGGACTTTCTCTTCATTGGGGGTGGAGAATATTAGCTGATTGAGCTGGGACCTGGCACCTTTGCCAAGTTTGGGGGAAATGCCGGTGGTGCCAGGTCCTGAATCAAACCATGAGGGGCCAGAATTGGAGATGGCACGGGCCACTGGTCTGCACCTGATTAGGATGTCCAGTATTACTCAAAATGGCGTGGATCCAGGATCCTTAAAATAAACCACCTCTTAGTTCATTCTTTAATCTCCAGTGAGACCCTTTTTAGTTCATAATGGCTGACCGTTTCGTTTTCTACATTGTACCTGGGTCCTAAAACTAAGTAGTGCATTCAGCCCCATGACTGTTGACTTTCTGGCTCCAAGTCCATACAGTTTGCTTTAAGGAACATTTTAGGTCTCTGCTTGTCCAGCCTGCAAAGAGCAGAGTTGATCTTCCGGTTGCTAAAAAGCCTTAAAAGAGTTGAGTTTCTCTGGGGGGGGTTCCCCCCTTCCCCCCCCCCCCCCCCCCCCCCCCAGGTTTGTAGGATGTTGTTAGTTGGCTTCAAAAGGTTGGCACAAAACACCCGGGAAATATAAATATATAGAGAGATATTTTTTCTTAAGTTTTCGTGGGTACTTACATGTATGGTATTCAGCTTTGTTCGGGTATTTTCCCACGTCATTATAGTTGTGCTTTTAAAGTTGTAGCAACGTTTCGGCAGAATCTCATCTGCCTTCATCAGGCTTCTGTATTGTGTTCGTCTGTGAGTCAGACTTTCCCAGCCGTTTCAGTTTTAAATTTGGGGCTAGCCTACTGCTGTGCCAGAAATTTAAAACTGACTCATATATATATATATATATATGGGATCTTCAAACTTGACAACTTTAAGACTTGTGGGTTTCAACTCCCAGAATTCATCCTCTAGTCATGTTAGCTCAGGAATTCTGGGAGCTGAAGTCCACAAGTCTTAAACTTCCCAAATTTGAAGACCCTTGTAATAAAGCAATATATTTAGCAACTTTTGTATGTTGTATCTCTGCCCCGTTTTCGTAGGTATCAGGAACTAGTGACAAAATACGGGAAGCTGGAGAAACTGGCGGTGGTCGACCTGAGACCTCAGAGCAGCGCCAAAGTCGAGGTTCACTTCAAAGACCAAGTGAAGGAGATGAACATCCGCTTAGATCAGACGGTAGCGGAGCTAAAGAAACAACTCAAAACGGTGGTCCAGCTGCCCATCAGCAGCATGCTGGTCACCTACTTCGATAAGGAAGATCCTTTTGGCCCCGAAGAGCTGAAGTACAACTCGAGGGCCCTGCACTCCTACGGCATCCGGGATGGCGACAAAATCTACGTGGACTCCAGAGCCAAGTAGCCTCTCCTGCTCCAGAAGGCCTGCTCCAGAGTGCGCGCCCGCCCGCCCCACCCACGTAACACCACCAAGGGACTTTCTGACAGGGGTGTTTCATTTGGGTTCATTTGGTTGAGATTTGGCGTTTTGGAAGTGTGTCCGATCACTTCTCTAGCCCAGGTTAGTGGGTCCAGATCTGTGAGATAAAATAGCACCAGGATTGAGCGCAAGTGACAGGATGCTCCTCAGAGGCGTGACACCGAGCAGGTGGGCTGCGTCCCTTTGGCCTCTCACAGCTGCTTCAGTGTACACTTCTGAGCCCGGAGGTTATTACAGCCAGGGAATTCAGCCTTCCCGCACCGCCTAAGCGTAAGGTACGTGTGAAAGAGATTCTGTGCAGCTCTTGTTCCCGTGGCACTTGGACTCCAATTACAAACGGCTGCACTGCTTTCCCTTCACCTGGGTGGTCTGTCATTTCTTTCTTCCTGGGGGGCCTTTTTGGGAAGGAAAGGGTTCTTCAAGACATGGCTCTGCGGGATTATCCGGCAGCGTTCTGGATTCCAGATAGCTGAAGGAGAGAACGCTGAGAGGAGCTTAACGTGCGTGTGCACACTGTTTCCCTCTCTCTCACACACACACATACACACACCTACAGCTTCCAAAGCACAGTAATAAGGACACACTAACAAAGCTGCATTCCTTTAGATAACCCTCCTGGTTTGCCAGTTCTTCAAGGTAGCATAGATAAACTTTCTGCACAGGGCACATCAGAAGTTAAACGGATGGCACATTGACATACAACCAATGAGTCGGGCAGCTAAGCAGAACAACTGATGGATCTGTTTGATAAAAGTCATTGCCTGGTTGGATGCTGAAGTAAACTTTCATTCAGCAGTTTGCTAAGAGATCACAAATCCCTTGTAGTGCTGGTATATATATATATATATATATGTTCAGTTCCTTATTACTATGAATTACACTTCGGGTGGCTTGAATGCTTCTCCCTCTCAAACCCTGCATCCATAAGTTCATCCTTAGAATAAACGTGTGGCAGGATTAGCTGAGGGATAGACACTGGTTCCTACCAACTAGAAACCTTCCATAGCTAGTTTTAACCTGAATTCCAAATTTTGTATCATGATACATAGATGGAAACCAAAATCCAAGACAGCTTGGTTCATTTTTAGTCCATTTTTAAGCCAATAGAAGCATACAAAACCATTCCTGGTCCTCCCCAGGTAGGTCATTTTTATGCACGAGTCATTATTCGGGACTTGTCCCTTTACGTGGTCCGTGATTCGTGCAGCTCCGGTAGGATGAGCTCCTGTTATCTAACTTGAAAGCAATTCTATTTTAACTTGGGATGTGTGCAGTGGGCGTCTGATTACAGCCACTGCCGCGAAGACCACATGAAATGCTTGCCCCTGTTTTCTTAGGCTCCCGGTCTCTTGTACGGTTCTCCTTGGAAATGCATTAAACTTGTTTGCTTTGTAAATCAGTCGGGGGCTGCCCTTCCTTCCTCGTGTCAGTTTGACAAGCTGGAAGCAGTTCAATCCATCCATTTTACACATGTACATTTAAATGTCCACGAAGCTGGCTGATTCTTATTACCTGTGCACTTTTGACCTGAGTTGATAGCTTTTATGCTCCAAAAGGAAGACTTTTTTGCATCCCCTGATTCTGCTATTCCCTCTGGGGGCTTCCTTTTTATATAAATTGCAGAGTGTGGGGGTTTCTCCCCCCTTCTTTCTGGATATCTGTACTGTTGGAAAGCAAAAGAAAGTTCTTTTGTTTTCTCGTTGGAAAGGAAGCATCGCCACTCTCTGTACATTAAAGAGAGGGAACGGCTTAGACAGAATAGCATTCGGACCGCCATCCCTTGTGAAGCCACAGCTCTCCATCACATTGTGACTATTGGACGTCACTCCAGAATAATCATCTGGATTTTATAACTATAGCAAGCTGAGGTTCTTTCCTCTCCGTTTACTTAGCTAAATGCCCTTATGGTAGCATTGTGATGCCATCCCAAATCAGCGTTTTATTTTTGATCGATGCATTTGTGTGTTTGTGTTTACACATGCTGTAATGGGGGAATGTTCATGTCAATAAGATATTTTATTATAAAGATTTATGGAAAGATAGACTTGTGTAATAATATACTATTATTTTAGCAGTGGTCCTACTATACCAAATACCCTAGTAGGGGTTGACAGACTGGTTGGGTACAAAGGGGCAGCCACTGAAATTTATGGAACATCCATTGGAACCGTTATCTTCCTCCCCGCTCCAATGTTGATGCTATGGTAGTGCTGTTCACGATCCATGTAGCTGGTATCTTAGAAAGAAACATTAAATAGGCCGGGGAGAGAGACAGCAAAGGAATTTCACCCAAGATTCATATTTTTGTGCGTATTATTGAAAGAGAGTTAGTCTTAAATTGTAAACCTACTTCCTTAACCTTACGTCTCCTGTGTTGTGACTCTTACAGACTTCTGGAGAGCAGTTAAGTTAGGAAAAAAGCTGTACTTACCTTATTTAAATCTGCAGGTTATATAACTTAGGCAATTCAAGAGGGTTTGCTTAAGTTGACATTCTGCTAGGTATAATATAGAGAGAAAAGTCTACAGCAAAACAGCCTGTTTTTTTCTTCAACCTTTTCCATTTTTGTTTTGGTTTTTTTTTTTTTTTAAAAATACATAAACAAATGCTTTGGAAGCTGAGGTCTGCATCTAATACATTCTGTCAGCTTTCTGCAATTATACAGAATTGGCACGTAACTATAGGCAAAAACTATGTCGGCATTGGGAGTAGCCAAGCTACATCAAATATTTAATCTTTTAATTAGGTACATTATAGGAGGATAAACGCAGCAGGAAAGGGAGAGTAATGTTAATGGCATTCTGTACTTCAGCTGCATTTTTGCATTGGATTCAGCTGCGAAATCTGTGGATCATCCTGGTTTGCCATTAGCGTCAAATTCACCACATTCTCCGACGTTCTGGGTTCAACCCATAGTGCTGATTGGTTCCCTATTTGGGCTTTTTTAAAATGCTGTGTACAAAAAGGAGATGCCGTATCGGACTTTGCCAGTTTTCAACTCTGCTTTCATCCAGCGCTAACGTCACACTAGATTGTTTCTGACTGACAACTGATTTTGACCATTGGCGTTTTGCTTAAAATGTTAATATTATCATTCAGTTCATGTTGGGCTAGTCATCGGATGAGAACGGTCATAAGCCAGATGCCACAGCTGTTTGCTGTTGAACACATGAAAACTCCCCTTTATGCTAGAGCAGGGGTGTCCAACCTTAGTGTGTTTTAAAACTTATGGACTTCAACTCCCAGAATTCCTCAGCCAGCCATGTTGGCTAGGGAATTCTGGGAGTTTTTAAGTGCACAGGTCTTAAACATTGATAAGGTTGGACACCCTGTGCTTAGAGGCTTCCTCTGCAGGTAGTTAAGAAGCCAGGAGACTAAATACTGTAGAGAACATTTGTATTGAAAGACTGAATTGGGCCCTAAACTCATCCACATCCAAAAATCTGGACAAAAAGTGAAACGATTGACTTCTTCTGGATAAAAAGAGCAAGAAGATTGACTTCGTCTGAAGTTATATTCTGAACTGCACTACCAAGTTCACCATGGGGCAGTGAACCCCGTTGGTAGGAAGCTGCGATTCTACCTACAAAAACTCTTGAGGTTTTTGGGGTGGGGTTAGTGGCAAGGCTCTGGTCACCGGAAGGAGTTTATATTTTTCCCCCAAAGACCCCTATTTACGAAAGGCGACTCTTTTTAAAGATAAGTGGGGCAATGTCAGAAAATCCTCCTTTCCACAATCGGGTTAATCTGTAGATTTCATTGCATTAGAAAATAGTGTGATTATCTGCCATTTTTAATGGTCTTGTACTGGGAAAAAAAACCTGGGGAACTGGGAAGTATTAACTTTGGAACTCAGGGGGCTGTTTATCGCTGGGTAGCAAGCCATAGCAAGTGATTCCCAGCTCATATCTGAGTCTGGCAGTTGCGCGTGGTATTGAGCAAAAAGAAGGCTCTTGGTTGGCATTACTGCGGGTGAGTAAGTTCTGTGCATGTTAGACCTCAATTTAGCCTTCACATTATGCAAAGTAGGAAATTTGTAGCTAATTCTGCTTCTGTGATTAAGTTGAGCGAGGAACTTGTGATTTCCCCCACCTCCCCATCCCTTTCTGACAGGGAATGCTGGGGTGAAGAATGGGCAGGAGTGTGTGTGTGTGTGTGTGCGTGTGTGTGTTCTGTTGAGACCCCAGTATTACTGGAGAAATTAAAAGAATAACCCAAGCAAAATGACATAGGCCTCTGAAATCTCTACCCTTGCTTTGAGCGTTTAAACTTCCTGTCGGAGTCCCAGAGAAGGCCGTGTATATATGGATCCACTGAAGTTAAAGGCGTTTGCAATAGACCCCGTAGCGTATTTACTCATTAGCAATCTCCAGGGTTGAAGACTCTTAACGCAACTCTATGTCTCAGTGATTTTGTTTCTGAAAAAAATCACATAGATTGCATCCCCATTTTCATAACCTGAGCCTTTTCTCCCCACTAGACCTTGAGTTGAAACTGGTTATCAAAGCAGACCGTATTCGCTCTGCTGAATTCCATGAACCAGTGTTTTTCAGTTGTGGCTGGTTTAAGACCTGTGGACTCCACCTCCCAGAATTCCCCAGCCAGCTGTGCTTGAGCATGTGGAGAGCTAGTGAGCCTGGATCTGATTAACGTGCTGTTTCCTAAGGAGCCCTACTTTGTACTAATGGCTAAGTAGAATGTCCTTTCTAGAGGGAGCTGCAGCTGCTCTCCAGAACACGGTTGAGCACCGGGCTGCACCCTGTTCGGTACCCTAGTTGTAAAGATTTGGAGTAGACAAATAGGCTGCAACTTGGGAAAAAGTGCCATTGAATTCGAGAGCTAGTTTTTGGTAGAAAACTGAAGTTACACCAATGGAGCAAGGCAATTGAACGTAAATAAGAGCGTGACATCTATGTAGAATTACCATTAGGGAGTATCTCTTCTGAAGAATCTACTCCTGTTTTACTCTCTTGCTAGCACAGACCAAACAGTGAGGAAGAGGACAGCTTAGTTCACTTCCAAATCTAATATCTGACTAGGATCCTTGATTTAAGTCATTTGAAAGGGCAATACAGGTCAACCTTGGGATAGTTGGTAAGGCACAGTGACATACAGCAAGCCTTTATTCGAGATACATAGGGCCTAAAGATTTTTCTGGATCTATTTACCTGGAAACATATCTGACAAGATGGTTAAATAGAAAATCCACTAAAGTTTCCCTTTTGTTTGTATTAAAACTCATGTACTTTTGTGGAAGAAAGATAATATCTCTTTTCCAAGAAACAAGCATTGTATTTCAGTGTTCAAGAACTTGCTCCAAATATAAGGCAGTCAATTGAATGATATCAATAAACTTTTAAGTTTTGTAAAAAAAAAAAACAAAGTGTGAAAGTATTTTATTTACATATTTCGTTTCTAAGCCATAAATTCTGATGCGCATGGATCTTGCTGGATTAAGTTTGAGCTTCTCATCTCTGCTTGTGGCTGTGCTCTGGGAAGACTTCAAAACTGTCCAGAAAGTCAACCTCTGGCTGTTGAAGTCAGCTGGTGTGTTTCCTGAAACCGTTCACAGACCTGAAATGATTTTCTTTTGATTTTCTTCGAAACCAAAAGCCCGAAGTAAGAAATCCATGCAAACTGTAAATCCACATGAATTCCTCCCTACACATCGATTTGGGGTATTCTATAAGCTTGGAAAAAGTTACTTTGGCTCCAGAGGTCCTTCTCCCCTGCGCGAGTTTATTTCTTACGCTCTTTAATGCTAATTTGGTAACCCTATATAGACCCTCCCTCAGTAGTACAAAGGAAGGGATGCTTTCTTTTTCTCTACTACTTTTTTTTTCCCCCCTAAGTGAAAAGTGATTCTGATCAAAACAGCCTCATTCCTAGTTCTTCCAACCTTGACATCTCCTTTCTGGGTCTCCTGGAAAGTTTTTTTTTAAGTTTTCAGAAAGAGATTGCTTCAGAATTGCAGCCCATTTCTGATTCGCCTTTCGATCAGCGAACATATTATTATAGACTTTGAGACGCAAAAGGGACTTGTTATTCATTGAAAACCATTTATTTAGTTTTGTCTTCAGATTTTTTTAAAAAGGATTTTGGGGGAAGCATCAATCATTCACCATTGGCACATTTATTGACATGCATCCTTTGCTGACTTAAGTTTTCCCAGAGTTGATCAAAACGTGGTTTCAGATTTCAAGATACAATTTTGCTTTGCTCGACCACAAACCAGGTTGGTGATTTTGTTTTCCGTATATTTATATGCCTCTGTTTAAAATCTGTATTACTTGTTGTTTTGAAAGATTTTTTTTTTAATTCTGCATTGTACACTCTTGTCTTTTGGGGATACGAATATGTGTTTATGATAGCGGTTTGATGTTGCTGTTGTTTTTTTGAAGACCAGCCATCTAGTTTGTTTTTATTTTGTTTGATATCTCAGACGCCACATAAAAAGCAACACGTTCTCTGCAATGAGAACACTGAATGGAGTTGATTGCGAATTGGATGTGATAAGTCTACTAATATCAGTTTCTGTTCCCAATTACATAGAGGAAAAGGCAGAGCTTTCTGCTCCCTTGTTCCCTTATCATCCCACTTAAATGCTTCTGCTAGATGAGATATAAGTCCTTAACATAATATAATTTCTACATTTTGTAATTAATGCGTTGCTGTCAAACATTTCAGGAAAATTAAGCTGCATACCTAATGAGGCAGCACCTCTCTTTGGGCATGTACACACACAAAATACATAGGACAGGTTTTATGCAACTTGATTGAATACTCTTTAAAGACTCAGCCAAGGTGACAGATAGCGGTGCAGGTAAAACAGTGATTGTGTGCAAATGCGCAGAGTCAGAAAGACAGAAAAAAAAGAGAGTTTTCAGCACTGACATCAGGCTGCTTCCCCCCTCTGGCCAGTTTCCCAAGACACGATAGAAACAGATAACTGCAACCAAGCCCTACATTAACAAAGATGGTTACATGTCTATGGAGGTTGTCAATCCTCCGGGTCATGGTTGTCCCAAAGGTGTTTTTGCAAAAGGCAACTGGACTTGCTCGTTTCCTTGTTTTTTTTTCTCCTTGAAAAGATTTTGCTTCTCCTCCAAGAAGCTTCTTCAACTCCTCACAACCGTAGAAGCGAAATGTTGCCTTTTGGAAAAGCACTTGCTTTCACTGGAATAATGCCACAGTTGTTCAGGACCAAGTCCCATTTTGTTCAGAGGTCTTTGGGGCGGTATGACTATTGGGCACAGATTCTGCACAGATGAAATTTTGCTAGCTTCTTCAACGGTTACAGAGGTTGCTAGCAAGATAACGTGTTGAGTTGTGGATCACTAGTGTGCGTGTGTGCTAATTTTCAAATCAGTTGGGTAGAAGTAGAAGTTGAGTTGGGAATTCTGTCAAAAGACAAATATTTTTATGGCTGTATATAACCACAATCCCTTGCTTCTCCTAATTCAGATTTGGAACAGAAACTGACTTCCATGAGAAAATGTGAGCTCTATGCGCAGGGACTTTACTCCCTCCCCAAAATGAAGTAGAAGCTTGTTAAGGGCTCTACAGTTCTTTAGTTCTGCATTTTTCAGGAGAACATAAATTTTGCCTCTATGGTAATGTAACTTTCAAATGAGGCAGGTTGGCAAATAGTAGTGAAACGGTGTGTACTTTACCTTAAAGTCTCTTCATGTATTCAATAATGCATGAGAAACTTCCACTGGGCCCCCCCAATAATTAAAACATCACCTAGGATGTATGTTTTATTTATGTAATTTTGCTTTTAGCTCCTCTTTCCTTGCCTCTTCTCAACTAACACACACATTTTTTTTGCAAGATGGGTATGCTTGTGACACAAAATATTAGCTTCTGCGTCCTTGTTTGTATTTTTCAAATCCCCAGTCAAGAAATGTTAAGTATTCTTCAGCTGGTTTGGGAGGGGAAGAAAGGAGGATTAGTTTAATCAAGGTTTAAAGTCTCTGCAACAAGAGCTCTCCATGCTCAATAATTGGCTCTCATTTTAGCATACAATGAAAAGCTCATCAGCCAAAAGCTTTGTACTGGAGCGATCACAGAGAAACTGAGGTTATTAAAAGATTGAACGCTTCCTCTGAGTGATATTCCCGTTAAATCCTATTTACTGCTGACCTTGGAAACTCTTCAGTCCTGACCCATCATTAGGCTGCATTTTTCATTTGAACCCATCATATTAAAAAAAGGCAATTTACAGTACCTCTCCTTCCCCCTCCCACTTAACAAGGGTATTGACAGCTCCTGGGCTAATTGAGAAAGTCTAAGATCTGCAGGTGTTTAAAAAAAAAAAACCCAACAACCTTCATTCCCCAAATTTCTAGGCCCATCGGTCAATTTGGATGCTCCTTGATAGACATGCTTTTAATGGAGAATTGATGAACTGATCCCTGTAAATGGTTACGGGTTACACTTCTCTGGTTTTTGGTTTCTTCCCTTCTTAGGATGAATTATCCATCATTCTTCAGAAGCTGGGTGGCCTATATTTTTCTGCTTCTACAGTATCCAGGTTAGTATTTCAGGTTTTCAGCGTGGGATACCAAAATGTTCTCTGTTCATTCCGACAATCCACCGACATGGAAGGCATTAGGCAGGTTACATGAGAACCAAAGAGAGTATCCATCAGGAATCCTGTCCCTTACCACACATCCTCTGCTTTGTCTCTACGATTCTACCAAGAATACCTTCTTCAGACCTGTCTTAAGATTGTTTCATTCCGGTGTGACCTGAGCCTGCTACAAATACATGTGAATGTGACTACCCTGGTTAGCATTGTAGATTCTACGGCCCATCACCTGACCAGGAGGAGAAGGTGACAAACAGGAATTGCGATGGATCCCATCTTCATGGTTTTGGAATTGGTGTGCATTCTAGAAAGACACGGTTGCATATGCCGGGACCTGGTTCCCACACTGCTGTAGAAATTCTACTTCTGACAAAAACAAAAACACGTAGAATTAAATTTGAAGCAATCGTTTTGTTATCTCGCAGGTGGATTCTGGTGAGGCTTCTTACCTGTGTAGCACCTGGAACAGGTGAGAGAAGCCAAGATTTCAGCTTAAAACAAAAAAGATACGAGGTCAGGTATAGAAGCACGACAAAATCTGAGGGTTTTGCCTTAAAATTTACCCTTTCCCCATGTCTCATACATCAAAAGCAAAACCTTGAGGCTTTTCATACTAAAGGATTATGTCACTCTGTCCCCAGGGAGCCAGTTTTTTTAAAAGTTTTTAATTCATCAACAGTGTCTCCCCACCACCCATTTTTCCCTTTATTTTTTTAAATTTTGTTTCATTTGGCAATTTAATGAGATTTTAAATTTAAAGTCTATCCCACTCTAGTTGCTTGTGATATATCTGGCTCGACGGATGTGTTTCCTTGCTCAAGCTTTTTTGTTCGTGTGTTTGCTCCCTTGTAAAGAACTGTGCAGAATTTTGTAGGTCAAAAAGGTTAGGTGTTGAGTAGTTTCCTTAAAAAAAAACAAAAACCAACAACTTCAATTTCCCATGATTTTACAGCAGTTTAAGACCCTCCCTGGGAAAATTGCTTCTCCAAGTGGTTGTTAATCCTAATTCTGATTGAGGGGAGGGGAAAAATGGGCTCAATGTTTTACATTGTCGAAAGTCTGTGTAAACCGTTTGTAAGGGGGCTAATGCAACTTTTAAAATGGGATGCAACTGTAACCGGTCTTTAATTTCTCCTTCCGTTCAATAATCGTGTCAAATTCTCAGAGGCTTCCTGGAAAGGCCCCTGCCATTTTCTTGGCGAGGTTTTTCAGAAGTGCTTTTCATTGCTCCCTTCCTATGGTTGAGAGAGGAGGATTGGCCCAAAGTCACCCAGCCAGCTTTCATGCCTAAGGAAGGACTAGAACTCGCGGCCTCCTGGTGATTGGTCCTAAGTCACCCATCCGGCTTGCATGCTTAATGTGGGACTAGAACTCTCTCAGTCTCTAGCCCGGTGCCTTCACCACATCTCCAAACTGGCTCAACAGCCCATTACTCATGCTTAAAAGATATATTGAAAAATTGACCTAATGCCAGAAGGGAGAAAAGGAACCTGAAAAAAAAAAAAAATAACCCCACATTTCACCGTGTAAGTTGAGATCTATCTGTGCATCTATTTTTGCCGCAATCAGATGCTTTTCGTTATCCATTGTCTGGCAAAATAATCTCTGCTGCAGCTTGCAAGTACAGTCCACATCCATGTGCAAGAAAGTGGGCCATCTGCCAGGTCCTCTAATTTTATTACACCCTCATCAAAAGTTTGCATGAGGGCCTTTAGAACAACTCTTTGGCAGCACACAGACTCACTGAGGCCCTGCTTTGTAGAGTAAAAACCCTCTGCAGTTCCTGCCGCTTGGCGAAATAAACAAATATCCACGTTTTACTGTAAGCTTGCAAAAATTCAGCAATAAAATGGTATTTAGACAATTGATGCCCCTCTTCTGCAAGTCTTCACCTTCCTTCAACATCCGTTCCACCTGTCTCAAGTCTCCCTGAGACAGAAAGTACAGATATTCCACCGGCCTATTAAAAGACCAGCAAAGTTAAGTCCTCTCTCCATCCTCAAATACTGTTGTGGTTAGTCGGCAGCAGGTGCGGATGGCTGAGGAGAGCGAGGACTCAGATGAGGGGCCAGGACCATTAGGGAGTGGACTGCTGCCTTCAGAGATTGTGGGGGCTGGCAGCAGCAATGAGGAGGTTCCTGAGGAGCCTGTGCCAAGTGCGCGTGCACACAGGATTGCTCGCTGGAAAGAGCAGCTGCAACGGCACGGGCGACTCAGGAGTAAGGCTGCAAAGTAATGGCCCCTCCAAGAAGATAAAAGCCAGCTGTGAAACGAACATTCTTTGCAGAAGGCAAAGATGTTTTGAAACTCCAGCCTCATGGACATTCCAGTATCCTGAGTTTGTATTTGAAGATTCTTATTTTGCAAATTATTTCTTGTCTCTTATCTTTTGGCAGTCTTGCACAGTTTGGCAAGGCTTGTGGTTACCGCAGCTAATTATTTTGCAGAAGCATTAATAGGCTTCTGTTCCTTTTGGATTGTGTTTGATTTGTTGGAAAAGGGCGTGGGTCAGGACAAATACGTCCAGCTTATTACTAAAGTCATCATCTTTTAACAACCCCATAATCCCTTGCCAGGTGGAGTCCAGGCAACTGAATGGAGCTAGCAGATTGTTTTAATGGCTGGATGCCCTTCCTGTCACCAATGCGGAGTTTTTTGTCCAGATATATTTTCCTTGTGCCCAGAGAGAGAAATATCTGCCTCTACCTACGATCAAACTCTCATAGCCTCCTGACTGTGAGGCGAGAGCTCCACCTCTAGGCCACTTCAGCGGATTCCTGATTATAATTTCATTTTAGTCTTCGTTAACTGATACTACTCTAGCCGATGACTAGAGTTTTATCAGTTAACAGACTAAGACTAAAATGAAATTAAAGGTAAATAAATAAAGGTGACCCTGGACTGCATTGTTTGCAAACATCCACCAGGGTGAAAGAATGGAGCCGGTTTGGAGGAAGTAACAAGGGGTACAACATGAAATGTGGTTGGCACTAGAATAATTATTTTCTTTCTCCGTGTCTCTTTGTTGCAGCCCAGACTATGGGCATCTTGTACCCTTTTTGGCCCAATGACACCAAAACCCCCAAAGTGGATGACGGCAGCTCTTCAGAAATCAAGCTCTCCTTCCCCTTCATTTTCTTTGGCGCACCATACAGGACCATTTTTGTAAGTAAAAGCACCACTTGGTAAAGCCAAGGGCGCCTTTCCCCGCCATTAACATCTGCATTTTAAACAGCTCTCTCCGCCAGCCTTCCTCGGAGAAGAGGAAGATTAATGGTGTCCTCTCTGCCAAGTTCTTACACGTTATGAACGAGAGGGTCTATTATTAAGGAAATCAAGGGTGCGCTTAGGAGGCGAGGCGTGCGAGGGGCAAGATTATAAAAGCCCAGCAACAGCCTTGTGCAGTTGATTAAACACTCAAAACGACACGCAGGCTTTGGCATGCTAAGTATTGAGCCGGTGGCAGGAAAACTAGAATATGTCAAAGAGCTGCAGAAATATATATATATATTTCTTTTCTCAGGAAATTATTTCTGCTTTGAGGGTGGCTGTGTTTTTTTTCCTTAGCAGCTACATCGATTACTCTGCCTCCTAGGTTGCTGCTTCAAAAGAGAGCATTCTTTTTCCAAGGCAAGACTGAGAGGAGAGTACCAAACTCTTTCGTGCACACAGATGCACACGTGTACACACACACACACACACACACACACACACACACACACACACACACA